AGTGAGAGTGGTGCTGTCACGAAAGAAACAAGCAGAGGCGCCTGAGTCCAGCGTGAAGGTGTGCAAGGCCTGAGCAGGCACAGTACCAGGGAGAGTACCAGACTCACTAGCACCTAGAGCAGTAGCAGCTATACCTGGGTCAGGCGGCACACACCGGTAACAGTCACCCTCAGCACTAACAAACAAAGCATACATAGCAGAAAGAATAGCATCAAAGTCTAGGTCAAAGATAGCAATCCTAGACCTAAGCAGATCTGCCCAGCGAGGGAGCTCGACGGCGTCACCAAACTCAACACGCCAAGCGTCGTCAAGACGGGAGAAGCAGCGGTGCTGAGTGTGAATCCGCCCGCAAGTCTGACCAGCGTGGTCACCCGTGCGAATGACATACGGGCAACTACCCCCAGACTCCCCACGCGAAAACCACTCACGAAGCTGCTGGGGTGACTGGGTTTCGCTCCGACGCTGCTACTGCTGACGCTGACCACCTCTAGAACCAACATGCCGAGCTCCAGTCCCACCACCACCAGTCCCACTGCCGCCACCGCCACCACTCCCACCGCTGCCTCCACCGCCGCCACCAGAGCTCCCACTCCCCCCACCAGTCCCACCGCCGCCACCACCTCCACTGCTTCCCCCACCACTGCTCCTGCTGCCACCTCCACCACCGTCGCTGCCACCTCCACCACCCTTGCCACCCTTGCCCTTGCCGTTGCGGCGCTTCGCACTAGCAGAAGCAGCCTCGACGTCCTCAGCAACAGAGACGTCAGCAGCAGCAGCAGAGGCATAGGAGGGGGCAAGGGGGGAGGGGGAGCACCCCTCAAAGAAGGGCGGGCGCGGAGTGCCACGAGCAGCACCTACAGCAACTGCACTAGTCTCAGCTGCGAGTAGATGCTGCTCGAGGAGGTCAACAGTGAGGGAGGTGGGGTCAAGAGGGAGGAAGTGGTCCCTGACAGAGCGAAGAGAGTCAGGGAGGCGAGTGAGTATGAAGTAGAGGGTGATGAACATCGGGGGCTGGTTGGTGTCAAGGAACTCAGCAGGGATGGCATCGCGGTAGCGAGTGTCGCTAGCGCGAAGGTGGGAAACCAGGTCCTCGACTGTGGCAAAGGCAGACAACTCGGGGAACATGTAGGGCAGAAGCAGGCGACCTAGAGCAGCAGTGGCAGGGGAGGAGTAGCGAGCGACTATAGCGTCGTACAGTGCCTGTGCGGTCCTGTGCTGTCCGAAGTGAGCGCATTCGGCTAACGGCAGGTGGTTGCGAATGGCTAAGCTGGCAGCAGCGTCGCGAGAAAGCCACTGGGAGCGAGTCGCACTGTCAGCTATGGTGGGAGGGGCAGTTGTGGCACCGGACACGTGGTCAAACAGGGAAACACCGTCCTTAATATCGCTCAGTAGGTACAGCTGCAGGTCGTCGAGCCACGTGTCGAACTGAACCGGTCTACCCTCATGATCGAATGCGAGAACTCGAAGCGAGGCCATAGTGGCACAGTATGCAGGAGCAGCAGTAGCAGCAGAAGCAGTCAAGGGGCCTAGGGGCCTTGGGCCGAGGGGCCGAGGGGCCAAACACGAGGGGCCAAGGGGCCAAAGGGGCAATGGTGCCTAGGGGCGAGGGGCCGAGGGGCCAAGGGGTGACAGGCCGCTAGGCCAGGTGCCGAGGGTCGAGGGGCAGAGGGGCCAAACAAGAGGGGTCAAGGGGCCGAGGGGCCTAGGGGCCGAGGGGCCGAGAGGTGGCGGGCCGCGGGGCCAGGCACACAGGGGGCCAAGGGGCCGAGGGGTGACAGGCCGCGGGGCCAGCTACCGGGGAGGGGGGGGGGGGGGGGGGGGGGGGGCGAGGGGCCAAACACGAGGGGCCAAGAGGGGCCTTGTTGCCTAGGGACGAGGGGCCGAGGGGCCTTGGTGCCGAGGTGACGGGGCCGAGGGGGGGCCGAGCTAGGGGCAACGGGGCCAAGGGGCCTAGCCAGGGGCGACGGGGCCGATGGGGTCGCGGCTAGAGGCGACGGGGCCAAGGGGCCTAGCCAGGGGCGACGGGGCCGATGGGGTCGCGGCTAGGGGTGACGGGGGCCGAGCTAGGGGCGACGGGGCCGACGGGGCCGAGGGGCCGAGCTAGGGGCGACGCGGTCGATGGGGCCAAGGGGCCGAGGTAGAAGCTTGAGGCGACGCCAAGGGGCGACGGGCCGGGCTAGGGGTGGCGACGGGCCGGGGCCTAGGGGCAACGGGCGCGGGCCTAGGCTAGTAGGGTTGTAGGTGGTGGCCCAAAAACAAACCGGTCCTAGGGGACCTGCTCTGAAACCATGTTGAAATGTTGTGAACGAGAATGAATGAACTAGCAAAGAGTTGGGTACAAGTACTAACCCTAATTGGGTTGTACCCCTTATGGGCTACCCCACTATAGCCTACACAAAGGAAAAGCTATAATGTTCTGACAGCGATTACGTCCAGGTGGCTCTTCAAGATCAAGTCCGACGCTGACGGCAAAATCGAGCGCTACAAGTCTAGGCTTGTGGCAAAGGGGTACCAGCAGAAGGAGAAGGTGGACTATAAGGAGTTGTTTGTTCCTGTGGTGAAGCCGACGACGCTGCGAACCCTACTCGCGGGAGCTACCATCAAAGGATGGGTGGTGAAACAAATGGACATGACAACCGCGTTCCTCAACGGCATTCTCGAAGAAGAGATTTTCATGGCGCAACCAGAGAGGTTTGATGATGGTAGTGGCAGAGTGTGGAAGCTGAAGAAGGCGCTCTATGGGCTCAAGCAAGCCCCTAGGCAGTGGTACTTGAAGCTGCGTGAAGTCTTGGAGGAGATCGGGTTCACTCCTTCATCCGCCGATCATTCCTTGTTCATGCTTGGCAAGGGGGAGCAGAGGAGTTTCATGGTGGTTTATGTGGATGACATCCTCATTTTCTCACCCTCCTCTGACCTTGTGAAGGAGGTGATGCTGAAGCTTCAAGACAAGTTCAAGTGCAAGGCCCTTGGTGACGAGAGCTTCTACCTCGGCCTCCACATCGAACGAGATGTCGAGAAGCGGTGCATGCCGGTGCATCAACAGAAGTACCTGGAGGCATTGGCTGCCAACTTTGGGCAGAGTGAAGGCCATGTGGCTACACCCTTTCCCGAGTTCAAGTATGTGAAGGGACCAGAGGAGGAGAGCGTTGGTGAAGAGGAGAGGCGCTGTTTTCACTCGTTGGTGGGCAGCCTCATGTATGCAGCAGTAAACACCCGACCGGACGTCGCCTTTGCAACCACGCAGATGGCTAGGGTTGTTCAATGCCCTAATGAGGAGCAGGTAGCAGCTGGAATAAGGTGGCCAAGTATCTTGGCCAAACACCGACCGTTGGGCTGCTATACTCGGCGGCGGCGCAAAGGCGCCAAAAGGGCGCGGATGGTGTTGAACCCGGGCGTTTGTTCCTCTCAGCACTCTCGGATGCTTCTGATGCATCAGAACCAGTGGACATGACTAGTGTTGGAGGGTTCATTTGCTGTGTTGGTGGAGGCCCAACTGCTTGGGAGAGTAAGAAGCAGGCGGATCAAGCATTGAGCTCGGTGGAGTCCGAGTACATGGCACTCTTCCGTGTCGTATGGGAGATTGTGTGGCAGTGACGTTTGTTGGCTGAATTGGGGGAGGAGCAGCAAGGACCTACCCCACTCTACTGTGACAGCCAAGGTGTCATTGCTCTTGCTAAGAATCCTCGGTTGCATGGCCTCACGAAGCACATGAGGGTGAAATGGCATTGGACAAGGAGCATGGTGGCCGCGGGTGAAGTTGAGTTGCACTATGTGAAGACGACAAGGCAGCCAGCTGACATGATGACCAAGAGGCTGGTGGAGCAGCAGCATTGGAAGTGTTGCAAGCTGGCTGGGATGGCTTTGATTTGAGAGAACAAGTTCCTAAGGCCAACAATCCGAGGGGGAGTTTGTTGGTGCAACCATACGGTTTGCATTCGGCTTGTTGTCCGTGTGCGTGCATGCGTGTGTGCATGGAATGGTATGAGGGCATGAGATAATATATATTTCATGTGTACAATAGTGTGTGAATGATGAGGCATGATTTTGAATGTGTGTGTCGAGTCAATAGCGAGTTATCGCTAGTCGCGTGTCACGTCGTCATTTGCTTGTCGTGTGCATTTTTCTATTTTGTCGTGTGTGGAACGTTCGGCGTGTCGCAGGTGTGCACCGCAGACTTCCAAGAACTCAAGGAAGAATTTATCTTGAAGAACCAGAGCCTTGGTTTCAAGATTCAAGAGATTTCGAAGCTATCCAAAAGGGTAAACTTCAAGAAGATGAGAATAGTTACATTACTTTGTGTAGTGTAACATTTCTCTTGGTGTAGGCCCTTGTGGAGGGTAGTTTCGAGACCCTTCGTGGTTGGGGACAGTGTGGCACTGTTCTACATCACTGTACCTCGGCTCTTGGGGTTTGTAGGAGCTGGGAGTCATTCCCAACTCGTAACTCTTCCTAATTTGTGTTCTAAGACTATAGTGGCTGCCATAGTGCTGTTCGTTCAAACCGACGTTGCATCATCAATACTTGATAAATCGTGTGATCTAAATTGCCAATTGTAGAAGATATCAAGACGCTCCAGATCCATTTTATAGCAAGTAATTTGAATCTGTGAACAGAACGCTATCAACGTTTGAAGCCGCTGTGCAGAAATCCGACTGAGCACTCAATCTTTCGTTTTAGGCACATTCAAGCCTATTGTGACTATAACATCCTAGAGCTGGACAGCCACCACAGCCTGATCTACTTGAGACGCTCTCGCAGCTGGTGATTCTTGCGTGGATCGTTCGGCGAGGTAGTCCTGGTGCTGGAGGGTTCGGTCTGTTAGAGACTAAGGACGGAGTCTATGAAGATTAGGGGCTGAAATATCTCAAAATCGTCAACTACAACTCAGGACAGAAAAGTTGTTGTCACAAGAAACGTCGTCGATTTAGAATTCTCTCAAACTCGAGTATGTTGTAGCCCTTGACCGTGGCTATCTTTCCCAATTTTAATAGTATCAGAATATGAAGTATAACTTGAGTTATGAAATTCGGCGCACTAGGTGGTATGCTGCCATAGAAAACGTAATTCAATCACAATTATTTCACAAGTTCAGACAAGAAAGTTGGAGTAGCAAGAACCAGGTAGAAGAGGATGAGGAGGATGAGAGAGAAGGTCCCAAGAGAGTCCCCAACCAAGGAAACCCCATACCACACAATTCCCCCCTCTATAAGCACCCCAACTTTGACATTTGTCACTTTCCCAACTCATGCCATCCACCTCACCCAACTTGGCCACACTTGCCAACCTGGTTTGGCTTCTCCCAACCACTTGGCATCATCTACAGTGATGGTGACGAATTTACCAACCCCCAAAAGTCTGTACCCCATATTGAGTCAACCCGCAAATTCCCATAGTCGCCGCATCTCAATCAAAACTTCGAACGATCATATCTTTCTTGTTCTTGCTCCGATCAAGGCGATTCTCGGTTCGTCGGGAAGCTCTTGAGCAGAGGAGTCACTTCAGATATGTGCTCAAGCCAAATAACATTCACACACACTCAGAAAATCCAAACAACACCGAACACAAATTCTTGCACACGCTCACACCACGCATGCAACACACGAACATATGATGGGAGGCAGACAGACGTGAATGCAAATGATAGCATCACATAACACGGTCCTGCTGGTGCTGGAGTTGCTAGTCCTGGAGGTACTGCTGGGGATGCTGGAGGTACTGCTGGTGCTGGAGGAACTAGAGGTGCTGGAGGTGCTGGAGCTGCTAGTGCTGGAGGTACTGCTGGTGCTGGAGGTACTGGAGGGGCTGGAGGTGCTGGAGCTGCTAGTGCTGGAGGTGCTGCTGGTGCTGGAAGTGCTACTGGTGCTGGAGGTGCTGGAGCTGCTAGTGCTGGAGGTACTGTTGGAGGTGCTGGAGGTGCTGGAGGTGCTGGAGCTGCTAGTGCTAGAGGTGCTGCTGGTGCTGGAGGTACTGCTGGAGGTGTTGGAGGTGCTAGTACTGGAGGTACTGGAGCTGCTAGTGCTGGAGATGCTGGAGCTGCTGGTGCTGGAGGTACTAGAGTTGCTGCTGGTGATGGAGGTGCTGGTCCTGCCGGTGGGCTTCGCCACATTCTCGATCTTCTGCCAGCTCCTACTGAGTTCCTTGTCGCTAGTACTACTCCAGCAGACCTGTCTCAGCCACAGCTACTCCCTCACTCCCCACTGCCTAATCCTGTTCCTTACACTGCTGTGACAGAGTCTGCGCATCAAGAGCCTGAGACTCGTGCTTCCACTCCTGAGCGTCGAGAGCCTGAGACTAGAGCTTCAGTTCCTGCTCGTGTTCGTCGTGTGCGTCGTCCTCATGCTCCGGCTGTCCGAAGCACTCACGATATGACACTCCGTTCTTCCTCTGTTCCACAGGATGTTGTCCTACTGTCACCTCCTGCGTCTTCTCTTCCTCACGTTGCTGACCCTCCGTCTGACCTTGTTCGTGCTTCCAGTCTGACTGTCACTCACTTTCTTGCTACAGTTGGTGAAAGACCCTATGTTCACGTCTCCTATTGCATCTGCCTTAGTCGCTGAGCTAGTTGACTTTGCTACTGTGTACCGCCTAGACGACCTTGCGGGTCTTGTTTCTGACCCTGACCCTGCCTTTCCTCCGTTCGCTGGGGTGAGGTTGCCCTTGGCTGTGACATTCTTGAGGATAGATAGGAGGAACTGGACTGCCTTGCGGCCGCTGCACCTCATCTCGCTACCATGCTGCTTGCCCCTAAAGGAGACCCGGATGCACTTGACATCCCCAACCTGCACTCTTACAGAGAGGTGATTTCGGTTGAGTACTCCTCTCATTGGCAGACAGCCATGGACGCAGAGATGGCTTCCTGGAAGTCCACAGGCACCTACGTCGACGAGGTTCCCCCACCTGGGGCGAACATCGTCAGTGGCATGTGGATTTTCAGGGTGAAGCGGCCGCTGGGCTCTCCGCCTGCCTTCAAGGCACGTTACGTTGCTCGAGGCTTCAATCACGAGAGGGGGTCGACTTCTTTCAAATCTTGTCCCCCACCCCAAAGATGACCACTCTTCGGGTGTTGCTACACGTTGCAGCTCAGCGTGACTACGAGCTGCACTCCCTCGACTTCTCGGCAGCTTTCTTGCAAGGTAGCCTTCACGAGGCCATCTGGCTGCGCCGTCCAGAGGGCTTCACTTGGTCGTTTCCTAAGGGTACCCAGTGGAGTCTTCGGCGACCAGTCTACAGCCTACGACTGGCGCCCAGCAAGTGGCACGACACACTGAGGACGACACTTGCAGCTCTTGGGTTTGCTCTTTAGACTGCTGGCCCGTCGCTGTTTCTACGCACCGACACTACCCTGCCGCCGTTCTATGTTCTCGTGTACATCGACGACTTGGTTTTTGCTATTGCTGACACTGAGGCCATGGCCCTAGTGAAGGCAGAGCTGCAAGAGAGACACACCTGCACTGACCTGGGTGAACTGCGCAGCTATCTTGGCTTGCAGATCACCCGGAAGAGAGCACGGCACACCATCACCCTGACTCAGTCAGACATGGTGCACCAGGTCCTTCAGCGCTTCGGCTTCCAGTTCTCCTCGCCACAGCCAACTCCTCTGTCTACCGGCCACTCGCTCTCAGCTCCACCTTCGGACGAGTCTGTAGAGCCGAGTGGTCCGTGTTGCCTCATGTACTTGATGACGTGCACTCGACCTGACCTCGCGTACCCTCTCAGCCTCTTGGCTTGCTACGTCGCTCCCGGTAGGCACCGAAAGGTGCACTGGGATGCTGCGAAGCGGGTACTGCGTTACTTGTGCAGTATGTCGGGCATGGGGCTCGTGCTTGGAGGACGGGGTCCAGTTATCCTCAGTGGTCACACAGACGCTTCTTGGGCTGACGACCCAGCTACGCAGCGGTCGTCACAGGGTTACACCTTCAGCCTCGGTTCCGGCTCTATCTCCTGGCGGTCTACCTGCTCGTCTTCGGTTCTCAGCTCCAGTTGTGAGGCTGAGATCTACGCAAGAGCCATGGCTGCACAGGAGCTACGCTGGCTCACCTACCTGCTGACTGACTTGGGAGAGCAGCCTCGTTCGCCTCCAGTTCTGACTGAGGCACTGACCCTTGTGAAGTTGGAGTTGCAGAAGAGACACACCTGCACTGACCTGGGTGAACTGCGCAGCTATCTTGGCTTGCAGATCACCCGGGACAGAGCACGGCGCACCATCACACTGACTCAGTCACACATGGTGCACCAGGTCCTTCAGCGCTTCGGCTTCCAGTACTCCTCGCCACAGCCCACTCCTCTGTCTACCGGTCACTCGCTCTCAGCTCCACTTTCGAACGAGTCCGTAGAGCCGCGTGGTCCGTACCGAGAGCTTGTGGGTTGCCTCATGTACCTGATGACGTGCACACGACTTGACCTCTCGTACCCTCTCAGCCTCTTGGCTCGCTACGTGACACCTGATAGACACCGAAAGGTACACTTTGATGCTGCGAAGAGGGTACTGTGTTACTTGAGTACATCGGGCATGGGGCTCGTGCTTGGAGGACGAGGTTCATTGGTACCCACAGGACACTCCGACACTTCTTGGGCCGACGATCAGGCGACTCAGCGTTAGTCACGGGGTTACAACTATAGTCTTGGCTCTAGTTCTGTCTCGTTGAGGTCCACTCAATCTTCTTCTGTGCTTGGTTCCAGCAGTGAGCCCGAGATCTACGATGGGGCCATGGCTGCACAGGAGCTACGCTGGCTGACCTACTTGCTGGCTGACTTGGGGGAGCGGCCTCGTTCTCCTCCAGTTCTGTATGTCAACAACAAGGCAATGCTTGTCTTGTGTTGCGAGCAGAGACTGGAGCACAGAATGAAGCACATTGCTCTTCGCTAATTCCTTGCGCGTGAGCTGCAGCACCGTGGTCAGCTGCGCCTTGCTTACATGGCCACTCGAGCGAGCACTGTTGATGTCTTCACCAAGGCCCTTGGGTCTGGTAATCATCAGCGTTTCTGCATTGCTCTTGGGCTTGTGCCTACTCTGCCTCACCTGCTGGTTGCTTGACTTGCACTTGTACACTGAAATATATCTTTATACCTGCTTGTTTACTCTTGCTAGGTTGTGATGAGTGTACTGCCTTGCTATTATACATCTGCATGAGAACCGGCCTTGTGGCCGCTTGCTTGTGCTCAGATTGTGTGGTGTCCTTGAGGTCCACCCTGAGCTTTGTGTTGCTTTGCTTTGCTCTGTTGTCTTGCTTGACTGGTCTTGTGACCGTCTTGTTGTCCCCCACTTAGCCTATGGGGGTGTGTCCAAGTACAATCTTACTGCCAAACTAACGAACGAGAATGGATGCATTGAACAGAAAGTTGGGTACAAGTACTAACCCTAATTGGGTTGTACCCCTTATGGGCTACCCCACTATAGCCTACACAAATGTAAGCACTATAACATTCTGACACACCCCCATAGGCAAAGTGGGAGAGAACAAGTGGTCACAAGACCAGTCAAGAAAAGCAAAGCAAGCTCAGGGTGGATCACAAAGTCACCACACAGTCCGAGCACAAGCAAAGGGCCACAAGGCCAGTTCACATGCAGAGTTATATAAAAGAGAACATACAATACTGTGATCATACCGTAGCAAGTGCAAGCATGCATGTATATATGTATATATCGCAGTACAAGCAAAGTCAAGCAGTGAGCAAGAGAGGCAAAGTAAGCACAATGCCTAACACAGTAGAGAAGCGCTGATGATCACCAGGCGGAAGTGCCTTGGTGAATATATCAGCAGTGTTGGCCCTAGTGGCCACGTACGCAAGACGAAGCTGGCCACGCTGCTGCAACTCTTGGGCAAGGAAGTATCGCAGAGCGATGTGCTTCGTTCGGTGCTCCAGTCTGTGCTCCTGACACAAGGCAATCATGGCCTTGTTGTCTACGTACAGAACTGGAGGCAAACGAGGCTGCTCTCCCAAGTCGGTCTGCAGGTAGGTGAGCCAGCGTAGCTCCTGTGCAGCCATGGCCCCGGCGTAGATCTCAGCCTCACAACTGGAGCTGAGAACTGAAGACGAGCGGGTACACTGCCAGGAAACAAAGCCGGAACCGAGGCTGAAGGTGTAACCCTGTGACGACCGCTGCGTAGCTGAGTCGTCATCCCAAGAAGTGTCTGCGTGACCAGTGAGGACAACTGGACCCCGTCCTCCAAGCACGAGCCCCATGCCTGACGTACTGCACAAGTAACGCAGTACCCTCTTAGCTGCATCCTTGTGCACCTTTCGGTGCCTACCGGGTCGTAGCGAGCCAGGAGGCTGAGAGGGTACGCGAGGTCAAGTCGTGTGCACGTCATCAGGTACATGAGGCAACCCACAAGCTCTGAGTACGGACCACTCGGCTCTACGGACTCGTCCGAAGGTGGAGCTGAGAGCGAATGACCGGTAGACAGAGGAGTGGGCTGTGGCAAGAAGAACTGGAATCCGAAGTGCTGAAGGACCTGGTGCACCATGTGTGACTGAGTCAGGGTGATGGTGCGCCGTGCTCTGTCCCGGGTGATCTGCAAGCCAAGGTACCTGCGCCGTTCACCCAGGTCAATGCAGTTGTGTCTCTTCTGCAGCTCCGACTTCACAAGGGTCAGTGCCTTCGTGTTAGCAGTGGAGTAGACCAAAACGTCGCATTCACTAGGACGTAGAACGGCGGCAGCGACGTGTCGGTGCGTAGAAACAGCGACGGGTCAGCAGTAGCAATAGTAAACCCTAGAGCCGCAAGTGTAATTCTTAGTGTGTCGTTCCACTCGCGAGGCACCTGGCGGAGACCGTAGACTGGCCGCCGGAGGCTCCAGTGCGTACCTGCAGGAAACGACCCAGTGAAGCCAGGTGGGCGGCGCAGCCAGATCTCCTCGTGCAGGCTGCCCTGCAAGAAAGATGTGCTGAAGTCCAGAGAGTGCAACTCGTAGTCACGCTGGGCAGCAACGTGCAGCAACACCTGAAGAGTGGTCATCTTTGGGGTGGGGGAGAAGGTCTGGAAGTAGTCGACCCCCTATCGCTGATTGAAGCCTCTAGCAACGTAACGCGCCTTGAAGGCAGGCGGAGAACCCGGCGGCCGCTTCACCCTGAAGATCCACATGCCATCGACTATGTTCGCCCGAGATGGGGGAACTGCATTGACGTAGGTGCCTGTGGACTTCCAGGAAGCCATCTCGGCATCCATGGCTGCCTGTTACTGAGAGGAGTAAGGACCCGTAATCGCCTTTGCGTAAGAGCGCGGGGTCGGGATGTCTGGAGCATCCGGGTCTCCCTAGGGGGCAAGTAGCATGGAAGCGAAACGAGGTACAGCAGCCGCAAGACACTCTTAGTCCTCCTGCCTGTCCTCAAGGACGTCCGTGCCAAGAGCACACTCACCCCCGACGGACTGAGGACTGGCAGACCCAGACTCAGCAACAAGAGCAGTGGCGTAGTCTAGACGACAAGCAGCAGCAAAGTCAACCAGCTCAGCAACGAGGGCAGACGCAGTAGTGGACTCAAAAGAAGGGTCAATGACAATAGTGGCGAGGAGATGAGAGACAGTGGGACTGGCAGCACGAGCAAGGTCTGACTCAGGGTCAGGGACGGCCGGAAGAGAGGACTCAGGAGGAGGCGGCAGAGGAACACGCAGTGGAACAGAGGAAGGACGAAGTGCCATAGCAAGGGTGCCGGAGACAGGAGGAGGACGCGGACGAGGGACCCTACGACTAGTGCGAACAGCGCGAACAGGCGAGGCAAGACGAGACTCAGGCTCACGACGCTCTGTAAGACCTCCAGTCTGCTCAGTGTAAGGAGAGGGAGCAGGCAGTGGGGAGGCTGGCTGTAACGGCGGCTGTGACTGGTCAGGCGGTCGACACAGCAAGGGAGGAGTAAGGCCAGCAGAAAACGGGAGTCCAAGAACCTACTGAAGTAGGGGAACGAAGTACGGTCGCGGCCGCACAGTGCCTCCAGCATCAGTACCGCCAGACACAGTACCCCCAGCTCCAGCTTCTGCAACGCTAGCGCCACCAGCGATTGTGCCTCCAGCTCCAGCGCCAACAGCTCCAGTGTCTCCAGCTCTAGCTTC